AGCATAAGCATGACTGAAGACGACACGATATTTGGACTGTAATTTTAATCTTTGAAATTACTATGTAATTTTTATCTTTCATATTGTAACTTACTTTGTACTATATGTACTTCTAGATATAATCTGGGTTAGATATATATGTTTTATGTTGTATGCTACTTTAACGTAAGAAGAACTGAAAATTATAGTTTACAGTGTGTAAAGATCAATTAAACTCATTTTTTTTATATTAAATAAGGGTAACAACGTCATTTCTAGCAACATATATGGCTAAAAACATCTTTCTATGTAAGGAGAGGTATTTTTGGTATTTTTACAAAAGTTAACGGATGAATGCCAGTCTATTTTTCACAGTCAACTAATAGAGGAGGTGTTTTGTGATTTTTTTTTTTAAGTTACCGAGTTTTGACGTAATTAGTTTTAGTCAAAAGAGTATCTTTGTTATTTTGGTAAAAACACAGGAAGTGTCAGTGTAATAAACCCAATTTTCTTTTAATAATAATCAGAGTTATATTTAGGGCTGTTCATAAACCCGAACAACCCGCAAACCTAACCCACCCCGCCCCAACCCAAGCCGAAAAAAATAACCTGCAGCATTATTTTTAAATTTTCGGCCCATTATACCTCTGGCCCGAAGTGTTTGGGGCGGATTGCGGGTTGGGCCCATAACAACCCGCAATCCCCAACCCAACCCGCACAACATACCCCCAAGCTTTCAGCCCAAGCCGAACTGCCCAAGTTCTACCTTAGGCTCGCTAACATTAGGGTTCACAATCTCATTCTCGGTCTCCCCTCCCGTGAACCCCCTATTCTTGCCTCTTCCTTTTCAGTTTTCCCTCTTCTTCCTCTCCCGTGAACCCCCTCATAACTCTCTCCTCATTGCTCAGTCCTCTCGGCCGCCGTCTTGCCCACTTTCTCCGGTGCTCTCTCGCCGGACTGATAAGGATGGTTGCTATTTCTATTTAATGATGAAGTTTGAATATTATATTGAACTTTAAGTCTTTGATTTTTTGAATGTTGAAACCGACCACCCAACCCACCCCGCACCGCCCCAACCCAACCCGAACATCGTTGGGTTGTAAAATTTTTCTAACATCGTTGGGGCTAAATATGTGCAACCCGCACCCTTTGAGGCGGGAAAAAAAAAGTCATACCCCGCACCAACCCAACCCAACCCATGAACAGCCCTAGTTATATTAAGATTTTTTTTTGTTTTGCTTTTTGTTTTTTGTTTTTTGTTTTTGTTTTTTTTTTTGAGAATTTTCTTATGCGTGTGTCAATTAAGCACGATAAAACCTTCTCTCTCATGAGTAGTCATAAAAATAGTGAAAAAATTTTATATATAAGAGGGAAAAAAAATGGTCACTGTCTTTAACATCAAACATTTGACAAAAAGCTGATCGAAGAGTATGATTTAACATCAAGAGGAGGGTTAATTTACAGTTGGATACACATGTTCTTTCTGCATCTTTGTCCCCGTCCATGTCCCACAATACAACATATAACATAATTCACAACTTCTCCGAAATTTCGGGGAAGGAGCTCTGTCTATCCATATTTCTTATCCCTACATTTACTCCTTAAATTTTTCCTCATGTATACCAATTGATATGACAAGATCTTAATTTTTTGTCAATTTTTATTATGACAGATGAGAAGTTCATGTAGACTGTAATAATGATGTTTTTATCCTATCTTCAATTAACATTAATACATGTGTACCAGTGCGGAATTTAAGGAGCTAATTATACGCTAGGCTTTTTTTTTTTTTTTTTTTTTGGGGGAGCTAATTACGTATCTTATCTTAGTTTGCTACATATGCATGTCCTTTCTTGTAATTTCATAGTGTACTAATATCTGAAAACTGATTTGTTTTTAACTGTGGAGTAAAGTTTATTTCATAAACGGATTTGATAAGGTTATTAGCCTAAATAAGCCACAACCACCCATGCGAAAATATAATATCTTTAAGACGCACAATAAAATAGCTATGTCTATTCTCATGCAAAGTAATTAAAAGCGAAAAGAAAATATTATTTCATGTATATATATACATGTGTACGTACCTAAATGTAGTTAATCAACGAAATATTTGTGTTTGCATTTATAATCTAAGAGTAATTTCATCTGTGATAACAATGACGCAAAGAGGCCAGATGTATATATCCTCAATGTTTTGTTTTTTTTTTTTTTTTAACTTTTTTCGGCCACGGCAAAATAATCAAATAAAGTACCTTGCACCCGTACTATCTAAGGGAACATCGTAGGCCATTCCATTTCATATATATGCCTGGGTACTGGGTAGGATTTAGACTATGGCAATTTAATTATATGTCTCCTCAAAATAATTATAACAGCCATATGTACATCTTTTTCTACGATATTAATTCGACCACCATTAATATTTAGGTTCTATATCCTGTATGTGTTCTTGAGCATTGATATGTAATATTTCATTGTTGCCACTATTAAAATTTGTATACATATTCTACATTATATATATATATATATATGGTGTGGGGCTTAATTTAGACATGCAATATATTGCATTGCTGGGCTCCAATATTGTGTTGTCGAAATGATAGTCTGAGTTGGTGCTGTCGGGGAGTGCTACTGCTCCTTTACTCATATCTCGTTTTCAGCCTCTTCATGCATGCGATCAACTTCTATGATCCACAAAATTTGTACACAACAAATATTTACGAACCCATATATAGTGTAGCTAGTCATATGGCATTTAATTGTAGGGCTATCATTATTGCTATATTTGTCAAAACACATTGTACGTAGAAGCATTTGTGGTGGAGTCGCATGTGGCCAGCCAGATAGTTTTGAGTCTTAATTTGGAGGCAAAGTAATTAGGGATTTTCAGGAGCAGTCGCAGAATACTACAACATCTCGGTTCAAGATTATGCATGTCCCCTTGTTTCGTGTCTCTTTTTGTATCTCTAATAATATTATGCCAACATCAGTTAAAATATTTTATTGACACGGCGTTTCAATTGATGCACTTTCATGATAGTTTAATTGACATGGAGTTTTGGTTAATATCAGGACAAGCACATGATGAGTCGAATTCCTCATCTACTATTACAAGCACATGCAGCTGAGTTGTGGTGTGGTCGATTGATATCCATGATCTATCACTATCCTTTATCTTTCAGCAAAATGATTGCTAAAATATTGCTTGTATAATTAATTTTCTAGTAATTAAGTTTAAGTACGTGATTCATTAAAGACTAGATTGTGAGTGTATCTATCTTTATGTGTGTGTGTTGGCAATGTATGTAGCAATTTTGAACTTCCAACAATCTACTTTCATACCACGTTATATATATATATATATATATATAGAATAATAATCAAACTTCAACTTTTTTTGTTTTTTTTGTTTTTTCTTTTTGAGAAGCAAATTTTTACAATTTAAAGTATCGATAGAGTATCAACTATTGGTAATTTAACATTCTAGTAACTTGCAAATTAATACGTCACATTAAGTTTGGGAAGGCCAAAACTAAAATTTAGAAACCGTTTCTCCCGGGCATGTATGTAATTGAAGCAAAACCTTTCTCTAGTGGTGCACTAAGTTGTTGAAGGTCAAGTATGAAATAATATCAATATTATGAATGGGATTATTGTAAGTTTATAAAAAGTAATCTTCCATGGGGTTTTCAGATAAACATATTTTGAATCGCAGGATATAATTATTTGATGTACGTAGTTATAACTATGAGATGTAACTCATTCAAATTTTTATATGATACTAACTCGTCAAGTGATTTAATCTACCAACTAATCAATTTTTACGCTTTTTTTCAAAAAAAAAAAAAAAAAAAAAAAAGGGAAAGTACAATTGGGATCTGGTGTTCCAAACTCGAGACCTCATCAACATTGAAAGCGACCTGTACCATTAAGCCAGGCCTCCAACGACACACCTCTAATACATTTACACTATGAAATGATCCATCAATCGAGTTAAGAGTTAATAAACTTTAAAACAATCTGATAAAAACCAATATATAAATATATATATATATATATATATATATCTCTCTTTTCGGTGGGAGAGGCTGTTTTGCACTGTCAATAGTAAATATTATTTTTAAATGTTGAATTAGTCTTAAATGTATGCATGTCTGCATACACGGTGACACAGAATTGTTCTTATTCTAAATTAGATTGTTAAAAAACTAATTCAATAATTAAGATACAATTCTTACTGGTGGAGTAGAATAACTTTCTTCACCATAAAAAAAAAATGTTCAAAAAAAAAAAAGTTAGATCAAGTTTAGCTGATAAATTATTGTCATGAGAAGGATTTTTTAAAAAGTTTTGTGAAGAAAGAAAAAAGGGAAAAGAGATAATACGACGCAACACATGTGGCCTAGTTAAGCCAAAAGTGGCTTTCTTAGTGAATCCTGGTCCCCTTTTCCATCCAAGTTGAGCAGAGCAACGTCATTTTCATAAAACAGGAATATTCCTTTCCCTTTTTCCCCAAAATGTCCCCAGTAAAATTTGTGAGGCCAAACCACCAAAGGCTTCCAAGGTTTAATTTGGTAGTGCCGTGAATTTTAAAAAAATTATTTTTAACTGTGTTGAAAGAAAAAGCAGTTGTTACAAGAAACAGCTGAATGTTTAATAAACTGTAATTATACTAGCTGTGCTGATTTTAAAATCAGTGTAATAGCGTTTGGTAAATTTTAAAGTTGAATTGTTGTGGGTATGTAAAATGACCAAAATAAAAATGGTATGAAACTTAAATATGTATATTTTTTTTTAGTATTTAGAAATACTTGTTTAACTTTACAAAAATAATGCTATGATTTTGAGTTTTCTAACAATAAATTTATGATAATTAATTCTTTTTTTTTTATTTCTTCATTCACAATATAGTTACAACTAAAAGAAGCATTAATGAGTAATGAACATATACAACAAAAATGTACATTCTAAATCTATACAAGTATCAATTTACACCGTGTACTACTATCCTCTATACAAGAAATTCTCTAGACGACGTTAAAAGGCCATCAAAGGATTGATAGAACATTCAAATTATTGTTATATATACACGTACTGAAAAGATGAAACAACGGTTAAAAAAACTACAACATTAGAATAAACCGCACTTATGGCACATGGCAAGGACAATTCCAAATGACATTTTGAAATTTAAGAGTGTGAAGAAAGACTAATTGTAATGTTTTGACTTTACACACAAAAGGGAAAAAAAAAGACTTCATCTGATGAGAATGCAACTTGCTGGCGATCCTTCTGAACCAAGCAGCTTCAAGGGTAAGCAATAGAGAGAATATATTCCAACTTGGATGCCGTCGAGCTTTAGACCTTTAACCAGAATGATGTCCTGAGGCATAGAACACAACATTAATGGACACACACCCCTATCACAAGAGCAAAATTAGTGCTTGGTTTTAAATTTGATTGTAATACTAATTTCTTCTTTTTCATGATTCTTTTAGTATGTTAACTCAGCATTTAAGTTTTACTTTTATAATAGCAAGTCAGAACTTTTCTTTTCCTTTTCTGGGTTTTCAATATGTTTGATTGAATATATATTTGTCTTCTTAATGGACATCAGTGTCCACGACTTGAAATAGCACTATGGAGAAAGCAGTTTGAATCCTTCTTTGAGTTTTGTTTAGAATGGTTTGTTCTTTTGGTTCTTGTTCTACAGTGACAACTTGGTTCTTGTTCTTCAAGACAACCTAGATGATTTTAAAGAACAAGAACAAGAAGAACAAATCGTTCTCAACAAACTAAAAAAAGGATAAGCAACTATCCAAGCAGGCCACAGGAACTAGTGAAAAACAAGATCACGAACTGATTTTATAAATATAAAATATATATGTTATCGCTTATCAATTGATATTATACATCTGTTATCGCTTATCGGTGTTAAACTTCAAGTGCTTGGACGGAAGAATCCAACTTAATCAATCACGGCCATTACCATCAAAACAACATTACCATCAAAACAATCAATAAACACGAATTGACATTACCATCAAAACAATCAATAAACACGGATAAATCATTATCAAGACAACAACTTCAACTAATAAACAAACCTAAGAAGCAATACTCAATATTCTACGAACACACCATTACCATCAAAACAATCAATAAACACGGAAAGAAGCACAAATACTTATCTATAGAACTCAAAAAACCAGCAAAGCATTTAAAAAATAAGAAGAACAATGGAGTACTTACAGAAAAAATGCACTTACAGCAAAACAACACCATAAGCTACAAGAAATCCCGGCGCTCCTGGGCTGCAAAAATTAGCAGGGAGAAAGGAAAATTTTATTCCGCGAATTACGATTCTTGATTTTAGGTTAAGAAGAGATTGGAGGAACCTGAATTGACAAGAATTGGAGGGATTTCGTCGCGGAAAATCCGAAGACGCTTCTTGGTGGAGGAGGTGGAGACCAACCCGGCGATCGAGGTGAGAGACTCCGATGGGTCGGCCATTGTTGAAGAGAGAGATTTCAATGGCAGAGACGAGCTCAGATGATCCTTCGACGATGGAAGAAGAAATGGTTACTACGGTTTTAGGAGCAGTTGAGAAACTAGACTGGGACAGAGGAGAACAACGGCAAGAAAAAGGCTTCAGCCATTTACGGATCCGAAACCCTAACGACCTCTCTCCCATCGCCGTTGTACAGAAGCGAGCCCATCATCCAGTACTCGACGATGTGCTGCCGCTTAAGGCTGGAGTTCTTCAGCCAGGGCGGCCACGTTTGGGCGGTGACCAGCATCTGGCCGGAGCTCCAGCGGTTGAGCATGCCGACGTTGAAGCGGCGGGGGAGATCGTAGAGGAAGAGGAAAGGAACAGGACGCAAAATTTTTTTGGGTCTGGAATTGTTTTCATTCAGCAGGGTAAAATCGTAATAACAAAAATTTCATTAAAGAGGGTTTTTAGATTGCCGCACAATCTATAATCAGAAGCATCCCAAACCTGCTTCTAATTTTTGCTTCAAATTCTTCTAAAATTCTTTTAGAAGTTCTTTTTTATGTTTAGGATTGTTCATGGGTTAGGTTGGTGCGGGGTGAGACTTTTTTTTCCCGCCCTAAAGAGTGCGGGTTGTACATATTTGGCCCGAACGATGTTAGAAAAATTTCACAACCCAACGATGTTCGGGTTGGGTTGGGGCAGTGCGGGGTGGGTTGGGTGGTCGGTTTCAATATTCAAAAAATCAAAGACTTAAAGTTCAATATAATATTAAAAGTTCATCATTAAATAGAAATGGCAACCATCTTTATCAGTTCATCTAACATCAAACATGAAGCAAAGTAGTCCATCCAACATCAAATACAAAGCAAACATAAATTAGTCTACACTTATAAATTAGTCTTAACATAAAACAAATAGCTTAAGCAAAGCAAACATAGAGGTTTAAATCTTAATTCAAATCCATTCAAAGCAAGCATTCCAACATCAACCATCTTTATCAATCCACACTCATAAGCTCCTCAATAGTTGTAGTAGAATATGAAGTTGAGTTATCTACAAGAGAAATGAAAATAGCTTAAGTAATAATTTGGATAGTTTAGAGTTCATATAATAAAATAGATTAAGATACATACAAATTATCCATCCTAAACAGAAAATATAAAACAAGCCATTCACATAATAGAGAGCATAGAAATACTCAGAATACTCAGAAATACTCAAAGCATAGTCATAAAAATACTCAGAAATACTCAAAGGCCAAAGCAGATACTGATTAGCAAAATAGCATTAAGAGAAAGGAAATCAGAGGCTCTGATCAAGCCATTACCTGAGACTCTCGGTGGAGAAATGACGAGACGCTGGCACCGGAGAGACTGAGAGAGCGTAAAGCAGTGAAATACTCCATTCACATAACAGAGAACACCAGCCATTCACATAACAGAGAGCACAAAAATTCTCAGAATACACAGAAATACTCAAAGAAATTCACTGATTATGAAAATAGCATCAAGAGAAAAGAAATCAATGATTCAATATCATCATTTGCTGGGAAAACAAGTTTGAACTACAATAAATACGACATCAAGCCTTAAAGGTAACCTAGAGGCGAGAGAGCACCGGAGCGCATCAAGAGAAAGGAAATCAATGATTCAATATATCATCATTATAGAATGAATCTACACAGAGGAAGCTTCGAGCTATAATAAATACCAAAAGATAAGTGAGGAGAGAGAGACCTAGAGGTGAGAAACGAGAGCACAGAGCCAGAGCGCAGTGAGCACAGAACTGAGACGACTGAGCACTGAGGGCCTAAGGCGAGAGAGCACCGGAGAAAGTGGGCAAGACAGCGGCCGAGAGGACTGAGCAATGAGGGGAGAGGCGGCCGAGACCGAGGGGGTTCACAGGAGGGGAAGAAGAGGGAAAACTAAAAAGCTTGGGGGGTTCACGGGAGGGGAGACCGAGCCTTAATGTCAGTGAGCCTAGGGTAGAAATTGGGCAGGTTGGGCTTGGGCCCAAAACTTGGGGGTATGTTGTGCGGGTTGGGTTGAGGATTACGGGTTGTTATGGGCCCAACCCGTAATCCGCCCCAAACACTTCGGGCCAGAGGTATAATGGGCTGAAAATTTAAAAATAATGCCGCGGGTTGCTTTTTTCGGCTTAGGTTGGGGCGGGGTGGGTTGGGTTTGCGGGTTATTCGGGTTTATGAACAGCCCTATTTATGTTTTTACCAAACGTAAAAAATAGCTTTGACTGGTTAGATAATCTATTTTGAGCTCTCAAAATCCCTACCAAACTAAGCCTTAGAGTAGCAACTGTGTTAGTGGATCATGTTCATATCAACTTGTTTATTAATTGTATAAAAAAATCAATCTAAACACGATATGTTTATTAAACGTGTCAGATAATGTCAACCTAAACACGACTTGTTTATTAATCGTGTTAATCAAGTCAATCCATATAACCCATTTAAATTAATATATTGAATAAATAACTAATATAATAATGACTTATTTAACACAGTCATGATAGGTTTAACATGTTTATTGGTCAATTTATCTTTTCTTTTAAGAAAAATAAATGAATTTTACCTACAAATATTAAAATTCACATTATTTGTATTTAATATGTCATATAAACTTTCATATTATATCACGTAACATTAGATTGCAAATGACACATATAGTTAATCGTGTCATTTCATGTCACTTCGTGTTAAGAGGTCAATCCTAACCTAACTCATTTATTAATCGTGTTAATTGTGTCAACACGATTATAATCCAAACTCATTTATAGTAAACTCAAACTCACTAACTTCGTGCGGATTTCGAATCGTGTCGTCGCGTAGCTATCTAGGTTGTCAGCCCTACTTCCAAAGGTCAAGCCAAAGTAAGGACAAAATTGTCTTACTGAGTATAGAGAGGACTCGTTCATTTCACTGGTCCCAAACAATAGTACTAGTATGAATTGGCATGTAGATCGCGTGATGGCTACCCCACATGTGGTCCCACAGCCGGAAACGTGCATGTATCAACGGGGTCATTTTGTATTGTCATTTGATCCGTCTACATAAAATCATAGAGGGATGAAATTGCTCTCATGATATGTGAATTTTTCATCATTTTTACGTGGGACATCAAACTTTAAATTTTGACATCTAAGATCTTATATTCGACAATATTTGACAATGTAGTTCAATTGATCAAACTTTAAATTTTGACATCTAAGATCTTATATTCGACAATATTTGACAATGTAGTTCAATTGATGACGAACGTTAATCAATGAAAGGGCAATTAGAATTAAAATCTTAAAATTAAAAAGTTTAGGATCTAATTTGAGAGGACAAAAAAATTTTGATGCATTTTGAGTAAAAGTCTTAGGGAATTTCCATCAAGTAATTGAGATTTATTAATTATTGGACCACAATTGGCAATTGCTGCAGATTTTTAAATTTAGGGTTTACTAAAGTTGCAAGTACAGTGTCTAACCAATAAGTTCAAACTTCAAAGTGCTCAAGTGTAAATAACCATAGATAGAGTAGGCCTTCACTTTTATCTTTAATTGCTAAAAAAACCTTTTGTATTTAATTTTTTAATGCCAACTATATCATATGTGAATTGTCATTCTCTTTTCTAAAATAAAATGTTCTAGGAGTTTAAAAACTATCATATTCATAAACATGAACAAATTGTATCTACTAATATAAAATAAAATTTTACTTGAATTAGATAAAAAAGAAAGAAGTTAGAATATACAAACTTGGGATTCCTAATAGCTAATAAAAAACCATGCTATACATTAGCAATTGATGAAATCCATTTATAATTCCATCAATCATTGCTCAGTTGAGAGGACAAACAAAAATCTTTCAAGTTTATTTTCAACAAAGAGGTGCACAAATGAATATAATTGTTTCAAAAATATTTGAAGATATCCAGCCTACATCATCACCAAGACAGATATTAGTTGTGATATCAGTAGATCTACAAACACCAGACCCGAAAAAAATCAGCCACAAGGTAAGACGTATTTACTAATTTATATCAATTATGTATAAAAAACAGTATTTATTATTTTAAATACATATCTAAATTTTTTTTTTTACCATTTCAGCTTTCAATCAAAGGCAACAGATATCCGTCACCACAAATATCAGCTCCCACCACAATAGATCGACAAACACCATACCCAAAATAATCAAGCACAAGATAAGACAAATTTACTAATTCAAATCATTTATTAATAAAAAACCAATATTCACTTCTTTAAATACATATCCGAATAATTTTTTATCATTTCAGTTCTCAATCAATCAAAGACAACAAAACAATCCAAAAAATGACTAAAGACCATGTAATATAAATATTTTTAAATCCTTTAATTTACACTAAATATAAATAAAAATTTTGAACTTCTTTAATTATTTTTATTCTTAATTTTTTTAATTTGTATTCAACAATTAAGAAGAACAGAAGAAAGAAACAAAACAACAGCTATATTACATTATTAGAAACTTCGAACCAGCATATTTTATATATATAAACTAATCATGTATTATTAAAATTCTTAATTTTTTATATAACACAATAATATTTCTCGCGATAATGTACAGATTCTCAGCTACTAATTCCGGAAAGACTTCTAACACCATCACCTTTGTTAGAAACACTTATGGGCCCTATAAAAGCTCTTTTTGTTCCAAAAAGTTGAACACGTAATATCTGGGGAATGGATCAGAGATGGGAAAAGCAGGCCCGGAATTTTATAATTGGAGAGCTTTTGAGGGGCAAAAAATAAGAAAAAGATGAAGGATACAATCCAAAATAATCTGTCCCGTGATATGGTGAGGAAGACAACTGATTAGACGAGATTTTAATTCATTTTTAGTTGCATCAAAACCAACTTTATGAAAGCTAAAAACAACGTGCTTTCTGCCATTTTTAGACACTGTATTTAGCCGTCTCTTTTTCGTTTATGCTTCTTGACCCTTGGATAAAAGCTTGTTCTACACTCACAATGCCATTATCTTTTTTTTTAAGGTAAATATGACAATCTATTAAAAAGTCACTAAAAAGTTAAAATATATGACTGTATTAAAACCATAAGAACGAGTACTATTTACAAGACTAAATATTAGAAATACATTCTTAATCTAATAATGGGGAGGACACCTCCCAAAAATAATTCTATAACAATTGGTTCTGAAAACTTGACTTTACGAGTCAGATCTTAATTTTATAATAGATCTCACACATATACACATATCTCAAACTAGCAGCGGTGGGAAAGCTAAACGCTGGCTGGGGAAAAAAACACCACAGACTGAGAGAGGTAGGAAAACCACCCTCTAACTGGAGAAACACACCAGGGGTGGGGAAACCATCGCCATTATTACAGCAAAATAAAGAA